AAAAAAAAAAAAAACAACCTAGGCTTTAAGATTGAGTAACTTCCCTGGTGATATGAGAAAGACGTGATACTTCTTTTTGGACTCCAGTGGCAGATACATAGAAGTTGAAATTTAACCTGAATTTATTTGGTATATTTTTCTTCTTAGGACAGACCAGAGATTTGTTTTATGAAGGGTGCTTATGAGCAGGTGATTAAGTACTGCACTACATACAACAGCAAAGGGCAGACCTTGACCCTCACCCAGCAGCAGAGAGATCTGTATCAACAGGAGAAGGCCCGGTTGGGCACAGCAGGACTCAGAGGTAATGCTGTTTCAGCATAGTCTCCTGGAATGGAAAAATTGTGCCATCTTTCCCATTGCAGGTAGATTCATGCTTCATGCCTGAGCTGTCCAGTTGTATTCCAGGCTGTGTAGAACTGTTGCTTTTTCTGAGGCATTATGTTTTTATTGATTAACTGGCCCCAAAATAGGTTAGAAAACCAGGAATGTAGCAAAATACAAAATCTCTGGTTCTTAAAGACCTGCAGTGGACTCTGAGTAGGTGATAGAAATTTTATTTCAAACAGCTTTACCTTGTGTAATAAAACAGAGGGATGGAGGTAAAGTGAGATTATTCCTTCCTTATTTAATCACTTTGTTTTTATTAGTAGAACTAAAATATTTTTCTAAAATTGAAGTGTATTTGTCCTTAAATTGACATGACTGGTAACTTGATCCTCATCTTCTGTATCCTTCCTTTGCTGTTCACCAGAGAGGTGAAGAAGTGTCCAGACACAGCTATTGTATATGCTGCTCACTGAACAGTGAGAAGAGCAAGTATCTGCCCTACACACAAGTCAGGCCACCTGTCCTAGGGTTGGAGAAGCAGGGTTTGGGACCATGTCCTCGTTTGGGAGTACCCAAAGCACTATCTTCCTTTCTCAGGACTTGCTGAAGCACATACTGATACTTAGGTATCCCTTTTAGTACTATTTTGCATCCATCCCGGGTGAAAGCTTTTGGGGCCCACATCTGCATGAATTGCTGGATGTGATTCTTAATTGGAAAAATATAAGTTCTTGCCTATAACCTTAGTTTTCCAAATATATCTGACCCATCATGCTTTCTGTTTGAGCAAGAATAGATGATTCCTTTGGTTTCTTTGGGATTTTTTAGTTTTCTTTATGAGGTACTTATGTTTCATTTGTGTGTTTTTGCATGTCCTCTGGGTAAGTTGTTTAGTACATTAATATCCCAGATGGAAACACATCCCCTTTGGATCAAAACTGTATTATCAGAGGTTCTAGAATTCTAAGAATAAGTTAAATGATAATTTGAGAAATAAACAGTACTTTGTGGTATATTTAAATGCTCAAAGATGATAAGACGCTAACTATAAATAACAGTGTAGTGTTGGAGAATGAAAATTACAAGTAAGAAGTGCCTCTTAATGTTATGGAAAGAGTGAAAAAGTCTGAACTATCATCAGTGTTAATGGTTTTACACTCACTTTACAGATTAACTTGACCTGTTAAGAGTTTGTCATATATAAAATTGTTACAGGCTATGAATAAATACTTAATACAGCCTTCTCTTCAAGCTGTTGGAATTTTCTGGAAACCTAGAAAGTGAAAAGATAAAGATACATTAGTAGAAGCCACTTTCAAAGGTGTTTGTTTAAAATGGGCTTTAAAGCTTGACAAACCCCATAATTTCTCCAGTTAATTAATTGCATTTTCTACAGAGGCAGTAATTTCTGTGTAAAGGAAATGTATGCAGTTGCTATGCAAAAATGTTCTTCATTCATTCTTTACTTGCTTTCTCTGCTTAATAGTTTTTTGTTTTTTTTTTTTAATTTTTTGTTGTTGTTTTTTATAGCTTAAACCAACCCATTATCCAGAACCGCTACAGTAAAAGTGTTAGTGTGTTATAATTTTGATTTTTAAAGACTATATAAGAAGTAAGAATGATAATAGTCTTAAGTGATTTATATGAGGAGTGTTTTATCAGCTTTTATTTTATCAACTGAATTCTGTTGTTTCTGAGACTTACATTTTCTTTTTTTGGATCTTATTATTCCTGAAGTTCTTGCTTTGGCTTCTGGTCCTGAACTGGGACAGCTGACATTTCTTGGCCTGGTGGGAATCATTGATCCTCCTAGAACTGGTGTAAAAGAAGCTGTTACAACACTCATTGCCTCGGGAGTATCAATAAAAATGATTACTGGAGACTCACAGGAGACTGCAGTTGCAATCGGTAAAACTAGGCTCTCTCATTTGGTTTTTGATAGCTTTTCTTAAAACACTGCAGTGCACAGGTAGTTTTATGACTCATTAGACAGTACAAGTGTGTTTGTAAAATATTAAGGTTATACAGTTCAAATCTACTCATTGTTTACTCATATTCTATATGAAATTATGTGTGAAAATTGATTTTAATTTAAAAAATACTATTAATGATTGGAAATACTAATTGAATCATTATAAAGTTACATGTCTGTTCACATAAGGGTAGTTTATTTTTCAACTTCATACTCCACTTTACTAATGTGAAAGCTCTAGATCATGAATGTGAAAGGAAAGTTAAAATTTAGTTTTTCCTTTCAACTTAGTTTGAAAACATTAATTTTCAAGGCACTTAGACCAAATTTGTAAGAAAATAGCCTGTGTAGATGTTTCTGTATGTCAGTATTTCAATGTTATTTTAATATTACCTTAAGAAATATAAGAAAAATAATGAGTATGAAATTTAATTTCCCAGAGCTTGTAAAGTATAATTCATAATGATAAATTCAAACAGTTTGCTAAGCTTCATTAATTCTAATTTTATTAATTTGAAGAGGAGCTGAAATAGGAATTTCAAAGTTGATGTTATCTAAGAAGAATAGATCATTGAAAGCCTAACAGTGTTGAGAAGACTATACCTAGAAAAACATTTCAACATTTATTTTCATTTACATAAAACTATATGATTGCCATAGATCCACTACCATTTTGTCTGGCTTTTAATATTATTCTTAAAATATAGTTGGATCTTCATTAAAATTGAGTTGCTGAGCTGACTGGCGTAGCTTCAATTCTTAGGTATGCTGGCTTAAATATAAAAATTTCTTTTTCTTAAGTTTAACCAAAAAACAAAACAGTTGCTTGAACAATTTCTCTTAAAAAGATCAGCATGAGGCCAGTCCCTATGAGGTGGAGGTCAAAGATGTCCCAAATGTCCAAACTACCATGCCACTCCATCATTTCAGACATTAACTCCTCCTCCTCCTCCCAGTAATTTCCCCAGTCATAGGGTTCTGTATTTCATTGTAATGCCTCACAGAACTCACAGACACCCAAGGATTCGTCTCGTAGTAGTGGTGGAGGCTGGCAGGCTGGCAAGTCCCGGGTCCGTGAGTAGGTCTGGCGGTTCCTCCCAACTCTCGGGGTTTGATGAACCTCGATCAACAGATCAGATGACAACTGCTGTCCCAAATCCAGGGGTGAGATGAGGATGATCCAAGACACAAAGCCGGAGCAAGAGGAGGAGAGCGAATCTTCCCAGGAGATTCGTAGGTATACCCTCAGGGAAGCTAAGGGTGGTGATTTGAATTATACCCTCCAGCAAGGCAAGACTCAAGATACATTCCACCTGCGTTGCCCCAACAGAATTAACCTCAATCCCATCACAGAGTTGATTGCCAGTCATTATAGGGAATGACTACTACCAGCTGCCCAGCCAAGCTGATACCTGACCTTAACTACCACACCACCCCAAACAGGCATGGATAATGGGATTTACAGAACATCACAGAATGGAGGACAATGGCTAGAAGGGCCACATCAAGCAATTCACTGCAACAGTCAAGTAAAAAAAACCCAGAATTTTTACTATTTCAGTTGAGTTAGTCTTACTAATATTTTGTTTTATGATCCCTTAATAAAAGACATTTTATAATTAAAAAGAAAAAAACATAGATAACTTAAAGCACATTAAATTTGAAGTATGTTGACTAACTAGTCCATTAAGTGAAAACAATTTGGTTAATTAAATATTCTCTCGCTTTTCACTATAGCCAGTCGTCTGGGATTATATTCCAAAACTTCCCAGTCTGTCTCAGGAGAAGAAATTGATGCAATGGATGTCCAGCAGCTTTCACAAATAGTGCCAAAGGTGGGCCTAAACGAAAGCCTTTTAGACTGAAAGACTTTGTTTGAAGTGTTATCATTTCTGTTTATAGCCTAATGAGAAATTTTCTTTGAGAATGATTCAGACATGAGTACCAAATCTGTTGGTGCAAATCATGAACTGAAATCTTACCAGCGAGATAATGCTTATTACTGAGGGTGTTTATAATATGAAGTGATCATCGTGAATATCAGTGCAGAATTATTAACTTCAGCAAGAACCAAGTTTCCTCTGAGGAATGTACTATGGAAGTGAACAATGATTATATTTGTAAGCTAGAGGGTGTAAACCAAAAAAACCACTCACTGTCATCGAGTTCAGTCCCAACTCCTAGCAACCCTTCCTTGGGTTTCTGAGGCAATATCACTACAGAAGTAGATTGCCCAACCTTCCTTCCGAGGAGTGGCTGGTGAGTTTGAACCGCCAGCCTCCTGGTTAGCAGTCAAATGCCTTAGGCACTAGTGACCATTATTTTATACTTCTTAACCATGTGTTTTATTTCAGTGTTAGCATGAATATGTAATCCTTTTTCTTTTTTCTTTCGATTGAGGTGTCATTTACATAGAGTAGAGTTTACCCTTTTTAGGGTGAATGCATGGAGTCTTGTAACCACCACTACAGTCCAGATACAGAACAATTTCATATTCCTGCAAAGCTCTCTTTTGCTCTTTTATATAGTCAACTCTTCCTTCCAACTGCTGGCAACTACTAATCTGCTTTCTGCCCCCATAGTTTTGCCTTTTCCAGAATTCTCTAAAAATAGAATCATACATTGTGAAGCTTTTGATTCTGCTTCTTTGACTTAGAATGATGCATTTGAATTTTATTCCAATTGTTTGTATTAATAATTTTTTCTTTTTTGTCACTGAGTAGTAGTCCACTGAATGGATGTATCTTACCTATCCACCAGTTGAAGGCCATTTTGTTTTCATTTTTCAATGATAATGAATTACAGCTGCTATAAATATTTGTGTACAAGTTTGACATGAACATAAACTTTTCATTTCTCTTAATAACTACCTAAGAGTAATTGCTGGGTCATACGGTATGTGTTATGGTACTTACTCATTCTGTACACTGACAAATAATCCAGGAAGCTGGACTGACTGTATGAAGGAGAACGTGGCATTAGGATTCGAGGAAGACTTATTAACAACCTACGAGATGCAGATGACATAACCTTGCTTGCTTAAAAGTGAAAAAGACTTGAAACATTTACTGATGAAGATCAAAAACTATAGCCTTCAGTGTGGCCTACACCTCAACATAAAGAAAACGAAAGTTCTCAACTGGAACAATAAGCAACAACACGATAAATAGAGAAAAAAATGGAAGTTGTCAAGGATATCATTTTACTTGGACCCATAATCAGTACTCATGGAAGCACCAGTTGAGAAATCAAATGACATATTCCATGGGGGAAATCTACTGGGGAAAAAAACCTTAAAATAGTGTTAAAGAGCAAAGATGTCACTTTGAAGACTAAAGTGCATCTAACCCCAACCTATTTTCTTTTCAGTAGCCTCATATGCATGTGAAAGCTGAACAATGAATAAAGAGGACCAAATAAGAATTGCTGCATTTTGAGTTGTGATGGTGGCTAAGAATATTGAATAAACCATAGATTGCCAGAAGAAACAAACAAATCTGTCTTGGAAAAAGTGTAGCCAGAATGCTCCTTGGAAGTGAGAATGACCAGACTTGGTCTCTTGTATTTTGGTCAGGTCAGGAGGGAACAGTCCCTGGACATAGGCTACTTGGTAAAGAAGAGGGTATGGTGGTTAAGTTTGTATGTCAACTTAGCTGGGCCTGGTTGAGTGGCTGGGCAGCTAAATGTAGTTATTCCCCATGGTGAGACTGGTAATTAACTCCATGGTGGAATCTATTGAAGCAGCTGAGTAGCTGCTTTGGGTGTGTGGTTTATTTCCCATTTATAAGAAACAGCTTTGGGAATGATCTCTAGCTTGTGGCATGCTTGAACCCTGTACATAGCCAAGTTGTTGTTCAGCAGCCTGCCATGCTCTGCTGACTTTGGGACTTTGAATAGACTTGAATTAATGGCCTACCATGTAGTTTGGAGGAGCTCTGGTGGCATAGTGCCTAAGGCATGTGACTGCTAACCAGAAGGCTGAACCCCACAGCCACTCCTCGGAAGGAAGGTTGGGCAGTTTACTTCCATAGTGATGCTGTTGTTGTTGTTGTTGTTATGTGCCATCGAGTCGGACCCGACTCACAGCGACCCCTTCTTGGGTTTCCAAGGCAGTATCACTACGGAAGTAGATTGCCCCATCTTCCTTGGAAAACCAAGGAGGGGTCGCTATGAGTCGGATCTGACTCTACAGCAGTGAGTTTGGTTTTTTTGTTGTGTGTTGGGTAACATCGGGACTGTGCCTTTTTACTTGTGAACGCTGGGCTTGTCAGTCTCAGCAGCTAGCAGCTGTCTGAGTCAAGAAACTCCTCCAGCTCCAGTGGGCCAGGAGCAGGAGGCAGAGCTGAAGCCCAAGGTTGAGGGGCTTTCACCCAGCCCCTAGAGCCTGGTAATTTGAACTCAGACTTAAAGCCTCCAAATTGTAAGAGAATAAATTCCTGTTTGTTAAAACCACTCCATTTGTGGTATATTCCTGTCAGAGTGGCTCTAGGTAACCAAAACGGAGGGTCATTGAAAAGGCGGAAGACCCTCAATGAGATGGACTGACACAGTGGCTGCAACAGTGGACTCAAGCTTAGCAACGATTGTGAGGAAGGCACAGGACTGGGTGATGTTTTGTTCTGTCATACATAGGGTTGCTGTGAGCCAAAACCAACTTGATGGAACCTAACAAAACAAGAAAAACAAAATACTTATGTTCAGCTTTGTAAGAAACTGCCAAGTTGTTTTCAGTGTGGCTTTATTATTTTGCATTCTCACTAGCGGTGTCTGAAAGTTCTAATTACTCCATGTCTTCACCAGCACTTGGGATTTCAGATTACCCACTTCCCTAGTCTAAGAAGGGTTTAGTAGCATCTTACTGTGGTTTTAATTTGCATTTCCCTGATGACTGATGATGCTGACTATGTTTTCATGTGCTTATTTGCTATCCGTATATCATCTTTGGTGAAGTATCTGTTCAAATCTTTTGCCTAATGTTTAAACAATAGGTTGTTTTCCTATTGTATTTTGCGAGTCCTTTATATATTATGAATACAAGTCCTTTGTGGATATTTGAAAATATTTTTTTCCCAATCTGTGACTTGCCTAACGCATTGCTTCAGAAGCAGAAGTTTTTAATTTTCAGGTCCCAATTTATCATTTTTTTCTTTTAAAGATCATGCTTTTGATACTTTATGTAATAATTCTTAGCCTAATTTAAGAGCACAAAAATTATTTTCCTTTGTTTCCTTCTAGGAGTTTTATAGTTTTAGGATTTACATTTACCTCTGTGGCCCATTTGACTCAATTTGTGTCTATTGTGTGAGTAGTGAGTTGAGGTTCATGTTTTTTTGCATATAGGTGTTCAGTTGTCCAGCAGCATTAATTGAAAAGCCTGTCCCTTTTTCACTGAAATGCCTTTTTACCTTTGCATGTATGTAATGCTTTTGTAACAGATTTATAGAAAACATAGATATCTCTCGTCCCATAAGCTGGCACCTTCTTTCTTTTTTTATTTTAAGAGCTTGTTTTACATTCAATGTAATGTGTACATTTAGTTTCATTCGGCATTCACCATGTCCAACCCTAACCCAGGCTCCTCCTCTCCCTACCCTGTAACCCTCCCCCTGTGCCCCTCATATTTATGCACGCCTGTTTGTCCTTCATTTCCTCAATTTGAATGTTGGTCCTCTGGTGTCCCGTGGTCTGTTGCTCTAAGGGATGTATTACCATAGAGTATGTGGGTGTGTCATCCTGGATTGAGTGGTCTGTGTATGCATCTTGTTAACTATTGGGCTGAGAGCCTGCCCCTGGGGGTGTGTTTTATTCCAGGCACCGAATATATTTCAGGGCCATTGGGAGTCTCACCAGATTTCATCTGACCAGTAATTCTGGTCATTATTGAGTTTTTGGATTTTGATCCACGTTTTCCCTCCCACTCTATCCAGGATCTCCAGATTTATTCCTTTCCTGAATGGTTGGCATTTGTAGCTGGGCACCATCTAGTTCTTCTGGTTTCAAGGGCC